CTGGCGCCGCCGCCGCTCGCTGGCGCCGCCGCCGCCGCCGGCGCCGCCGGCGCCGAAGGGAGCCCAGGCGTCTCCGAGGGGCCAGCCAGGCCGAAGGGGGCTCGAGGGAAAGGTGGCCAGGAGCAGGGGCCGCATACCTCGAGCCCCGATGGGAGCTGGGGGGAGGGGCAGGAGAGCCACTCCCCCCCACACCCCGCTGGGCCCGGGGACAGGTGGTCAGGAGCAGGGGCCGCACACCCAGGCCCAGCCGAAGAGGGGGCAGCCTGCCCCCACAGCGGCTGGGCCCAGCGTTCCGCGCCGAGACGGGAGCCCAGCCGCCGCCGGGCGGCCATCCCGGCCCGCGGCCCACGAAGAGGCCGAAGGCCAGGCCGAGTGCCGCACCGCGGGCGCTGCCTGATGCCTGCGGGCGAGGGCGCGCGCGGCGCGGGCCCATGGGCCCTTGAACCCAGCCCTTGAACCCAGGAGAAGGAGAAGGAGGAGGAGGAGGAGGAGGAGGAGGAGGAGGAGGAGGAGGGAGTGAGGAAGAGCCCTCGAGAGGAGGGATGAGGAGGAGGAGGAGGAGGAGGCGCAGGAGGAGGAGGAGGAGGAGGAGGAGGAGGAGGAGGAAGAGGCATCTGGGGCCGTCCTGGGGCATACTCAGCCTGTGAGCCGTCTTGGGCCGTGTTCGATGCATATCAGGCCATTGGGGTGTCCTTGGCTGCCTGCATGGGCCGTCTTGGAGCGCGGGGCGCGGATCCATCGTTTTACCCTAGAGGTCGTGGCCTTTGGAGCGCGGGTCCATCGTTTTTTCCCACTTAGGCTTGCCTAGGGGGCTCTTACTTGCTTAAAGGCTGATGCCTCGTTTCCTTGTGTTGCCCATTGCTCGGAGGTTTCTCGGGTTCCTCGGGTTCCCCGTCCCTGCTGCCTCTTTTTCCTGTCTAAGTGTTTTTTATGTTAAGGGTTCTTACTTGGTTAACTGTTGGTGCCTCCTTTGGTTACTTTGCCTGTTGCCCGGAGGTTCCTTGGGTTCCTCGGGTTCCTCGGGTTCCCCGGCCCACGCGCCGCTTATTGTTACGTTGCCGGTTGCCCGGAGGTTCTTCGGGTTCTTGCGGTATGCCAAGTAATGCCAAGCAATGCGAAGCAATGCCGAGCAACACCGAGCAGTGCCAAGCAATGCCAAGCAATGCCAAGCAGTGCCAAGCAATGCGAAGCAAGACCAAGCGATGCCGAGCAGTGCCAGGCATGCAGCAGGAAGTTGTTCCCCAGCTGGGGTCGCGCCAGGTTCATCTGAAAGGAGGGGTCGTGCCCTCGGGAGCGGGGGCGATGCATGCAAGTTGTTGTTGTAGGGGTATTCGGCCAAACCTGCGGCCCCCCTACCGCCACCGATGAGAATTGAAGCCGCAGGGTGAGAAGCTCGTAGATGATTTCAAAGCGCCGATCTAGGCCATTACAGAGTTGTGTTGGGGCAGTCCTGGAAAAAGCAACCCACACGCCGTCGAGGGTGGAGGGTACTCTAATCTTAGCGCAGGGGCCATGACCCTCCCCCCCTGTCTGGGCAATATCAATCCAGAAAGACGAACGATCGAATCAAGAGCACCCGGAAGAACTAGGGCAAGTCTGAACGGTCAGAATATTGGCATGTAAGCAGAGGCAACGCAGGCCTTCCCAGCCGCAGCACGAAAGCTGCGGTCGTGTGGGCACCATGACCGAACAGGCTTGGCGAGTCACGATTTTCAATCAAAAACCCCAAGTTACGTTGGTAGCCTCATGGTGATAAGCGCATGTTTATTCAAGAAACCCTGTCAACGAAAACCCAAGTCACGGTGGCGGCCACGAAGGATCAGGGGTCCAAAAACAGAGGCCGGATCAAAACCCAGGAAAGAAGTCGCGCGGTGATCAGTCGCAACAACCTCCTGCCCCTGGAGCCACTTGAGGGAGGAAAGATCCCAGAGGGATCCCAACCGCCTCCCTCGGAACTCCAAGGTGTCGCACGTTCCCGCCCCGCCAAAAAGCACCCAGGAAAAAGCCGAAACGAGGGGCACCTCCCGAAGAGGGAATGGGTTTGCCACTCCAGGCTCGTAGACCACGAATTCCTCATAGAACATGCCCGATTTCCCCCTCTTCCCCTCCCGAAGAGGGGGGGTGAGCAGCGGCGAGGCGGGACTGGGGACCCCGCGCCAAGAGAGGGCACGGGGGGGAACCCACCATCTGCCGCACCGCGGCTGACGCCCCCCAAGGAGAAAGGACCCAAGGAAAAAGGACCCAAGTGATAGACATGCAAGGAGACGCACCCATGGCTCATTTCTGATTATTTAATCGCTTCGCTCATTCCGCCGGCCCGTATTGTGCCCTCGCTGGCGTTTGGGCCCTCTTGGAAGCCTCTCGGGCCGATCTTGTAGCACATCGCTAGCGCTTGCTTGCGTGCTGGAGGGGGGGGGTCTCTTGAGGGCTTCTGGGGGGTCTCTTGGGACCTCTTAGGGGCCTCATGGCTCCTCTTGGGGGCTTCTTGGGGCCGACGGCTGGACATGTTTATAATGTTGTTTTGCTTGCTTGCGTGCTGGGGGGTGGCATTTGGGGGCTCTCGTGAAGGCTTCTGGGGTGCCTCCTGGGACCTCCTCAGGGGCCTCTGGGGTTCTCCTGGGGGCTTCGTAGGGGCGAAGGCTGGACATGTTGTTTCGCTTGCTTGCGTGCTGGGGGGTGGCATTTGGGGGGTCTCCTGAGGGCTTCTGGGGGGCCTCTTGGGACCTCTCAGGGGCCTCTGGGGTCCTCCTGGGGGCTTCTTAGGGCCGAGGGCTGGACATCTTGGCTCGTGTTCCCCCCCTGGGGCCGCTCTTGGGGCGTTCTTGGGGCCCTCTTGGGCCGTCTTGGGGCCCTCTGGGGCCGTTTTGGGGCCATCTTGGCTCGTCGTAAGGCCCTTGTGGGGGGCTCTTGGGCACTCTTGAAGCGGTCTTGGGGGCCTCTTGGGCCGTCGTTGGGCGTTGGAAAGCGGAAAGGGTGGGAATACCAAAATCTCACCAAAACCTAAGGAAAAGCAATGAATTTTGCCTATTGGGGCCCTCTTGGGAGTGCTCTTGGAGGCCTCCTGGGGCGTTTGGGGGCCATATGGAGCGTCTTGGAGCGATCTTGTGGCATCTCGGAGCCCTCTTGTAGCATCGTGGGGGCGTTTTGGGGCGTCTGGAGGCTCTCTGGAGGACCTCGAGGGCGGCACCCAGGAGGGAGAACATCTCTGACGGGAACCTCCCGGGACCCTCCCGGGAGTCTCCCGGGACCTTGCCGGGGTACTTTTCGTGGGGAGACCCCCAGGGGCCGCCCCGCGCGCGCGAAGAAGAATATTGTAAAGCAGTCACTGGAGATCTTAGCACGCCTCTGGCCCGTTGGGCCGGCGAATTCGAAAGTTCTTTGTTTTTGTTGGGGGGCCAAGATCCTGTCATGTCTAACTGTTCTATCCTGGGCCTCTTCCTGGCCACTAGGGGGCCAGGAGCAATTCGAAACGAGCACAATCAGAAATGAGCACGATTAGAAACGAACGACGTGTAAGTGGGGTGGGGGGTCCTTTGCCGGGCAGTCCTCGGCCTTCTCCCACGCCCCACCGTGCAGAAGGCATGGCGGCGGACCCAGAGGCCCTCACGCTGCAGCTGCCTCTCGCTTTCTGAGCGGCACGGCGAGGAGGGCGAACAGTTTTCAAACGGTGGGCCCCTCTTGGGGCCTCTTGAGCGGCCCCTGCGGCCTCTGGGGTGCCTCTCGGCTGCCACGGGGGCCCCCTCGGCCCCTGGAGGGCTCCCGAGGGCCATTCCGCGGCCCCCGCCTCGGGGCCCGCCTCGGGGCCCTTCTGGGGCCGTTTTTGGGGGCGCCTCCGCCTCCGCCTCTGCCTCCGCTTCCGCCTCTTCCTCCTCCTCCTCTTCCTCCTCCTCCTCCCTCTCCTCCTCCTCCTCCCTCTCCTCCTCCTCCTCCTCCTCCTCCTCCTCCTCCTCCTCCTCCTCCTCCTCCTCCTCCTCCTCGCCTCTGAGGCCGTTTGGGGACCCTCTTGGGGGGCCTGTCGTGTGGCCTTTTGGCGTCTTTGGGGGCCTCTCTACTCGTCTTGGACGATCGGGGGCTCAGAAGGGCGAGAACGCCACAGTCTTTCGGACGCCCGAGGAAACTCACGGACGTTGGCTTTTTCCAGCCCTCTGGGGATCCGCACCGGGCGAGATACAGTCAACGCGCCTAGTAAGGACGCGCGCCTTCATCTAGGGTGCCCTTGTGTCCTTGCCTCTGAGGCCCTTCCTTGCCATTATCACTGGTCGCCCGCCGCCCTAAAAAACCCAACTTGGGCCTCCAAGGGTCTTGCGTCCTTATCGCCCGTCCTTAGTACACGTTTTGACTGTAGCGAAGCTGGGTCCACGGGGCAATCCTGCGACAGGCCTCCAGGGGGCCTGCGAGACGCCCCAAGAGCGCGTGGGACGTCGGGCCGGGGGGCTCTTAACCTAGGCATCGCTCGGACGTGTGTTTTTTCTTCGGCGAGGACCATCGAGGAGCATCCTTGATCATTTGGCGAAGAAACCACGCACGAAACCAAAAAACACAGGGAATGGACGTCCGAGCGATGGCGAGTAACAGGTCTCCGATATTCTGCACAGGGGCCTCGAAAGGGGCCTTCGGATGCTCCACGCGGCATCCAGTTGCACGATCCTGGAGATCCACGAGCGGCGAGGTCGAGCGCGAGACGGGGGGAGGAGGAGCGCGACCGGGTGAAGAGAGGAGAAAGAGGAGATCGAGCGAAGGCAAGGAGGAAGACTTCGTTGAACGGGGGGGAGGACTTGAGAGACGGTGGTGGCTAGTACGTGCTCACGAGGGCGACGTGGAGGGAACACGTGGAGTAGGGGAGAGGGAGGAGCCACGAGTCTGGTGAGCAGGAGGAGGCAAATGTAGGAGGAGGAGGGGGAAGCGGAGGAATGCGATGCGGTGCAGGACGAGATGGAGGAGGAAGGAGGCGGAGTAGCAGGGGCAGGGAGATGAGGCCCCGCAGCCTGCTCTGTGGCTAGGTGAGCGAAGGCCAGCCTGGGCCCCTCATCGTCTGCTACTGCCACCAGGCTCCCGAGCTTCCTCGGGGGGACGGGCGAAATCCTCCTCGATCCTCGATCCTCCTCCTCTTCCTGGCTCCTCCTCCTCCTCCTCCTCCTCCTCGATCCTCCTCCTCCTCCCTCCTCCTCCTCCTCTCTTCCGTCATCCTCCTCATCTCCTCGATCTTCCCTCCCTCCTCCCCCGCCTTCCTCGCCTCCTGACTCCTTCCATCCTCGCCGCACGCGGGAAAAACTCTCCTCGATCCTCCCCTCCTCTCGATCCTCCTCCTCCTCCTCCTCCACCTCCTCCTCCTCCTCGTTCCTCCTGGCTCTCCTGGAGGATGATGAGGAGGAGGGTCACCAGCCTTTTGCAAACGATTTGGCGCTTGCCACCGCGATCGCGAGGAGGAGGACGACGAGGAGGAGGTGAAGGAGGGGAGCGTAGGGGGAAGGGGAACGGAGAATGGAGCTGCCGCTTCTGACGATGGCCATGATGGTGACCAGGCTGCTGTAGAACTACTAGCTTACAGACATGATGCTGATGCTGCTGATGATGATGATGATGATGCTGATGATGATGATGATGTTACTGATGATGATGATGATGATGATGATGATGATGATGATGATGATGATGATGATGATGATGATGATGATGATGGTGTTGGTGGTGGTGGTGGTGGTGGTGGTGGTGATGGTGGTGGTGATGATGATGATGATGGTGGTGGTGGTGGCGATGATGGTGGTAGTGGCGTTGATGATGATTGTGGTGAGGATGGTGATGATGCTGATAATGCAGATGATGATGATGAGGATGATGATGATGATGATCATAATGATGATGATGATGATGATGATGTTGATGATGATGATGAAGATAATGATGATGATGATGATGATGATGATGATGATGATGATGATGATGATGATGATGATGATGATGATGATGATGATGATCACGATGATGATGTGTTGCTACTGATGTTGTTGTTGATGAGGAGAGGAGGAGGAGAAGGGGGGATGAGGAGGAGGCGGAGGAGGAGAGGGAGGAGGAGGAGGAGGAGGAGGAAAAGGAGGAAAAGGAGGAAAAGGAGAAGGAGGAGGAGGAGGAGGAGGAGGAAGAGGAAGGGGAGGAGGCAATGCTTATGATTAGGATGTCGATGCCCTCCCAGCGTGCACGTGTGGCCTTAGTTCGAACGGGCGTGGCTCCCGCTACCTCCACGGCCACGGCCACTGCTACTTCTCCTGCGACCGCCGATGCACCTGGGGCTGGTGCGAGGATACGTCGTTCCAGAGCGTTTCGGAACGCTTTTGGAGCGTTCCGGAGCGCTCGGAGGAGGCCGCGGCGCCCGAGACATCCTTCCGAGCCGCCGGATCCCTGAGGCTCCCGATTCATTTTCACCCGAGCTTCGCCTTCCTTCCGTAGCCATTTTGGCTCGCGCCGTGTCGGCTCAAGCCGTCCGAGGTCCGGCAGCGGCCCGAGCGGCCCAGGTCCAGCTCCGATGCGGCGGCTTCTGCTGGCGCGGCTCCTGCTGGCGGCTGGGGGCAGGATCACGCTGCACGTGGCACAGTACGCGTGGTGGGACGCGACGTGCCAGGGAGAGGTCGAGGGCTCGTACACTGGGGAGGCGGGGAAGTGCAACGAGTTCGTCGTGGACAACCATACGGCGTACTGGGCGTTCAACATGACGTCGTGCGAGGAGGACGGGCCCGTGAGCATCTACCCGGACAGCGCGTGCCAGTCCGCGGCGCACATGCCGATCCACTGGAGGGCCGCGGAGTACGGCGAGTGCATCGGCGCAGCCGTGGCCACGTGCTCACCCGGGCGGGCGCTGGCCGCGCCCCCGCGGCCGCGGGGCGGGCGGCCAGAGGGGCTGCAGCTGCACCTCACGCTCCTCGGCCGCGGTGCGATGGCCGTGTCGTGGGTCGGGCCATGAGACGTCGGGGTCGTGGAGTACGGGCCAGACCCGGCGCTCGCGAACGCCCGGGCTGTGCAGAACGCGTCCTACGTCTACACCGGGCCCACCGAGGACATGGCCACGTACGATTATTGCGGCCCCGTCAACATGACGCGGACGCTGCACTCCGTGGCGCTGACTGGGCTGCCCCACGGCCGCACGTTCTACAGGGTGCGCTCTCAGGACGTTGTGAGTGACATCTTCAGTTTCACGATGGGTCCGCCTGGTGAGTTTTCGTTCTTCGCGGTGGCGGACTTCGGCATCTACGACTACTGCTCGGCACCGTCGATGCTGGCGCACTCGAAGGTCAGCGCTCCGGACCTGGTCCTGCACGCCGGGGACATCGCCTACAACCTGGACGTGGGGACGACCGACAATCGCGGCGACCTGCTGCTCAACACGATGCTGCCGCTGGGCTCGAGCGCACCGTACATGTACGTGCCAGGAAACCACGAGAGCGACTGCAACTTCACGTACGGCAACTATCTGGCGCGCTTCCGCGCGCAGGCGTGGACGGGCAGCGGCTCGGCGAGGTATTACTCGTTCGAGCACAAGCTGGTGCACTTCGTTGGCGTCGACACGGACGCCTGGGCCTTTGATGAGGTGGCCCACCTGCTCCCGAGCATGACCCAGTGGCTCGCAGACGACCTGGCTGCGGTGGACCGGGCGCGCACTCCCTGGGTCGTGCTCTTCGGGCACCGGCCGATGTACTGCAGCGAGGCCGCCGGTGGTGGCCTCGACCACCCGGCCGCCGAGCGGCCGGCGGAGTTTGGCCACGGCTTCGCGCGGCTGGGCCTGGCCCCGCCGAGGTGGGGCGGCGACTGCACGGACATGGCGTCCCGCATCCGGGACGGCATCCCCAGCAGGGACGGCGGCGCGCGGCTGCAGTACGGCATCGAGCACCTACTGGATCGCCACAAGGTCGACCTGTACATCACCGGGCACGTGCACAACTACGAGCGCAGCTGGCCGGTGCTTCGGAGCCAGCACGTCAACACGTACGACAACCCGGGGCGGCCGGTGCACATCTTGACTGGCTCGGCGGGGGCATATGGCAGGGACCCGTTCGGCCCGCCGCGAGCGTTAGACGCGTTCCGGTCGAGCGAGTGGAGCTACTCTCGACTGCACGTAAGAGTGACCCTATGCCGGAGTGACCTGTGGTGCGGGCCCATTGGGACCCCCCGATCGCCGAGCGAGGTGCGGCAGTAGCGTCTTGCGCGCTTGTGTTTGGTCCCCCCACTGCCCCCAAAAGGCCGCGCGCCAAAGGTCACTCCGACAGCCAGGGTCACGCTTGCGCGTAGTCGATGCTCGCGCTTCGTCGTCAACGCGACGCACCTGTCGATGGAGCAGCGCCGAGCCACCAACGACACCGTCCTTGACAGCTTCACGCTTTCCAAGACCGAGCGGGTCTACGTGTGATTCTGGACTCCTCGAGCGCGGCCTGCGGC